GTGAGTGGTGCTGACCTACAGGATGGGGGTGTCCACCAGTTCACTCCTGCTCGTCAGCGGGTGACACACTGCACAGAGGCTAGCACAGGTCGCCACCTAGCTACGTTTACACGTCAGCCAGGGTCGAGCCTGTACACAGTGACCACTGCTTCTCCTCCCGCTGCTGAGTCTGGTAGAGTCCCTTCGTCTGGTCAGGCGTTTGCTGCAGCGTCCAGGTCTGGTCCTGAGTCTGCCCCCTGTTCGTGTCGCCGTCTGTCTCACGAGACTCTCCTCTGGCACCACCGCCTTGGCCACCCCTCTCTGCTTCGGCTCAGAGGCATGGCCTCCCGTCTTCTTGTGTCTAGTCTCCCCCGGTCCCTCCCTCCCCTTCCTTAGGGCCCTGGCCCTGCCTGTGTCCCCTGCGTCGAGGGGTGCCAGCGTGCTGCCCCTCACTCCTCCTAGTTTCCTCCGACAGAGGCTCCGTTGCAGACGCTTCACATGGACGTGTGGGGCCCTGCCCGCGTCCGTGGACTCGGTCACGAGTGCTACTTCCTGTTGGTGGTTGACGACTACTCGCGTTACACCACAGTCTTCCCCTTGCGCAGCAAGGGTGATGTCACTGAGGTGTTGATCGACTGGATCCGCGCAGCTCGTCTCCAGCTCAGGCAGAGCTTTGGCTCGGACTTTCCTGTGTTGCGTCTGCACTCGGACAGAGGCGGAGAGTTCTCCTCTGGCCTTCTGCGTGCCTTCTGTCGTGCGCGAGGCATCCGCCAGACATTCACGCTTCCGAACTCACCGCAGCAAAATGGGATTGCTGAGCGCCGCATTGGCATGGTCATGGACGTCGCTCGTACGTCTATGATGCATGCGGCTGCCCCCCATTTTCTGTGGCCGTTTGCGGTCAGGTACGCGGCGCATCAGATCAACCTCCACCCCAGGGTCTCCAGGCCGGAGACCTCCCCAGCCCTTCTGTGGACGGGGAAGGTTGGCGATGCGTCTGCGTTCCGGGTCTGGGGATCTCGGGCGTTTGTCCGCGACTTGTCTGCGGACAAGCTGTCCCCTCGCGCTGCTCCCTGCGTCTTCCTGGGGTTCCCCCCCGACGCCCGTGGGTTGTAGTTCTACCACCCCACCTCCCGACGTGTTCTGTCCTCCTAGGACGTCACGTTCGACGAGTCGGTGCCCTACTACCGCCTCTTCCCCTACCGCACTCCGTCCCTCCCCCCGCCCCCGCTCTTCTTGGTACCAGGTCCCCCCCCGGTAGACCCCCTCCCCCCTCAGGGTCCTGCCCCTTCAGGTGTGTCCCAGGTAGACGCGGTCGAGCCTGTCGAGGTCACTGGTGACTCTGGTGCTGCTGCGGGAGCTGAGCCTGGGGGTGCTGAGACTGGAGGTGCTACGCCTGCGTGTACTGAGCCTGGGGGTGCGGATTCCAGAGGTGCTGAGCCTGGGGGTGCTGAGCCTGGGGGTGCTAAGCCTGGGGGTGCTGAGCCTGAGGGTGCTGAGCCTGGGGGTGCTGAGCCTGGAGGTGCTGTGCCTGGGGGTACTGAGCCTGGGGGTACTGAGCCTGGGGGTGCTGAGCCTGGAGGTGCTGAGACTGGGGGTGCTCCGCCTGGAGGTGCTTTTTCTCGCCGAGAGCCACTCTCCCCTCAGGAGCTACGTGAGTGGTTTGACAGGCGCTGGAGGTGTGCTGCTGGTGCTGGAGGTTCTTCGGCTGCAGAGGGCACTGCTGCCGAGCGTCCTGGCGGTGCTCGTACTGTGGGTGCTGGAGCTGCTGGGTCTGAGGGTTCTCCTGGAGCTGGTGGTGCTGAGGGTGTTGACGCTGAGACTGCCGCTGGAGGTCCGACTGGTGGTGCTCCTGGTGGTGCTGCTGGAGGTTCTGGAGCTATTGGAGGTGCTGCTGGAGCGGGTACTCCTGCTGGGGGTACTGGTGCTGTCCCTGCTGTTTCTGGCGTCGCCGCGCGGCCCCGGCCGTACTTCGTTCCGCTCCTACAGCAAGTTCTTGGTCTTACACCTTCTCCTAGTCCTCCTCCTCCTCCCTTAGAGGGTCCACAGCCTGTCTCGTCACAATCACAGCTACAGCCTGCCTCACCTTTGCTTGCTCCTTCTCCCTACGCTGGTCCGACTGGAGGTCTTACTGAGCGTCGTGAGCCTGCGTCTCGTCCTGCGTCGACTGTTCGTACTGCGCGCACTAGTGGTCATGGTTCGCGTCAGCGTCCTCCTCCTGTCCCTGGCACGCACCGGATGTCTCTGCGTCCGTCTACTGCTCCTCTGCGTGCCCCTTTGCCTTCTCCTCCTGCTTCCTCTCTTCCTGCTCTTGCCGACCCGGAGTCGGACTCTCGTCGTGCTGCCAGTCCTACTGTCACGCGTCTTCTTGCTACTGCTGTCACTGACCCTTCTTTCGAGTCTTCTGCTGCGTCTGCCCTTGTCACTGAGCTCGTCGACTTTGCTGCGCGCTGTCGTCTAGACTACGCTGCTAGTCTTGTCGCTGAGTCTGAGTCTGCCTGTCCTCCGTCCGTCGGGGGTGAGTGTGCCCTTGGCACGGACGTCCTTGAGGACACGCAGGAGGAGTTCCAGTGTCTGGCCGCCGCTTCACCTCATCTTGCGTCTGTACTGCTAGCCCCTGAGGGAGACCCGGATGCACTAGACATCCCGACTCCGCGCTCTTACGCGGAGGCGATAGAGGGGCCCTACTCCTCTCAGTGGCAGGCAGCTATGGATGCAGAGATGGCTTCCTGGAAGTCCACAGGCACCTACATCGACGCTGTTCCCCCTCTTGGGGCGAACATCGTCAGTGGCATGTGGATTTTCAGGGTGAAGCGGCCGCCGGGTTCTCCGCCTGTCTTCAAGGCGTGTTACGTGGCTCGTGGCTTCAGTCAGCGGCAGGGGGTTGACTACTTTCATACCTTCTCCCCCACCCCGAAGATGACCACTCTTCGGGTATTGCTGCACGTTCCTGCTCACCGTGACTACGAGCTGCACTCTCTCGACTTCAGCACAGCTTTCTTGCAGGGCAGCCTGCACGAGGAGATCTGGCTGCGTCGCCCACCTGGCTTCACTGGGTCTTTCCCTCCTGGTACCCAGTGGAGTCTCCGGCGACCACTCTACGGTCTCCGCCAGGCTCCACGTGAGTGGCACGACACACTGAGGACTACGCTTGCGGCACTTGGGTTTGCTCCTTCTACTGCTGACCCGTCGCTGTTTCCGCGCACCGACACCTCTCTGCCGCCGTTCTACATCCTCGTGTACGTCGACGACTTGGTCTTTGCCACAGCGGACACTGCTGGACTCGCTTACGTGAAGTCCGAGCTGCAGAAGAGACACACGTGCACTGACCTAGGTGAACTGCGCAGCTACCTTGGCTTACAAATCACCTGGGACAGAGCACGCCGCACCATTACCCTGACTCAGTCACACATGGTGCAGCAGGTCCTTCAGCGCTTCGGCTTCACGTACTCCTCGCCTCAGGCCACTCCTCTGCCTACTCGCCACTCGCTCTCAGCTCTGCCTTCGGATGAGTCCGTAGAGTCAAGTGGCCCGTATGCAGAGCTTGTTGGGTGCCTCATGTACCTGATGACCTGCACACGACCTGACCTTGCATACCCTCTCAGCATTCTCGCACGCTATGTTGCTCCTGGGAGACACCGACCAGAGCACATGGCTGCAGCGAAGAGGGTGTTGCGCTACTTGTGCAGTACGTTGGGCATGGGGCTAGTGCTTGGAGGGCGCAGTCCAGTGGTCCTCACTGGGCACGCGGACGCTTCTTGGGCTGACGACCAGGCTACGCAGCGGTCGTCACAGGGTTACACCTTCGGCCTTGGTTCCGGCTCTGTCTCGTGGTGGGCTACTCGCTCGTCTTCTGTTCTCGGCTCCAGTTGTGAGGCTGAGATCTACGCCGGGGCTATGGCTGCTCAGGAGCTTCGCTGGCTCACCTACCTGCTGACCGACCTTGGAGAGCCGCCTCGTTCTCCTCCAGTCCTGTACGTAGACAACAAGGCCATGCTGGCCTTGTGTCGAGAGCAGCGACTGGAGCACAGGACAAAGCACATTGCTCTCCGCTACTTTCTTGCTCGTGAGCTGCAGCAGCGTGGACAGTTGCGACTTGCGTACGTGGCCTCTGAGGCCAACACTGCTGATGTCTTCACCAAGGCACTTGCTCCTTGTGATCATCAGCGTTGCTGCACGCAGCTGGGTCTTGTGCCTGTCTTACCTCACTTGCTCACTTCTTGACCTTGTTTGTACCTTGACCTATATATACGCTTGCTCTTGCTTGCTTGACTCTTGTATATCTCTATATATGATCTTGCATGCGAACTGGCCTTGTGGCCCTTGACCTTGCGCTCGGAATGTGTGGTGACTTTGTGATCCACCCTGAGCTTTGCTTTGCTTTGCTTTGCTTGACTGGTCTTGTGACCCCTTATTCTCCCCCACTTTGCCTATGGGGGTGTGTCAGAACATTATAGCTTACTTATTTGTGTAGGCTATAGTGGGGTATCCCATAGGGGGTACAACCCAATTAGGGTTTCATATTTGTACTCACTTCATTCATAGTTCATGCATTTCTCATTCGCTTCTTCTCACACGCGGCAAGTTGGCCTAACATACCAGCCACGGCCCCGGAGGGGGTGGGGGGGGCCACGAGTGGTGGGATTCGTGCTGCCAGCATGTCCTCATACATCACTCCCCGGGTGCAGGAGCAGGAGCTGCGCTCTGCCCTGGTGGAGATGTTCGCCGACGCCGATCTGCCATTCCGCCTTGTCGATCGGCCATCAGTGAGTCTTTGTTATTGTTCGGCTACAGCATCGCATTGTGCATATCATTGAGACTAGATGCATGTTGCGTATCCATTCCTCGAGATATACCTTGCTCTCCACTTATAGACCAGCCTTGAACTGCGTGTCATTCACGCTTCATAGTGGTGCTTCGTCGTTGTCTATTCCATCCCCCAATAGTTCCGTCGATTCGTCAAACTGCTGAACCCTGGGGCCGAGCGGTTGCTAGGGACGCGGTATCGGCTGGCACGAGACATGCAGGCATACGCAGATGCTGCCAGGGAGGAGTTGAAGCAGGAGCTGATTGGTGATGGTCTCGCTGGGCGGCTGTCGCTGAGTACGGACATCTGGACCAGTGAGAACAATGTTGCTTTCATGGTTGTCACCGTGCATAGGATCACTAAAGACTTCCAGCTGCGGCAGCACATCCTGGATTTCGTGCAGCTGGAGGGGTCACACAACGCGTCGCTGATAGCGAAGACTCTTGAGGGCATTCTGGCAGAATGGGGACTGACCGAGATGCTGTTCGCCGTCACGACGGATAATGCTGAGAACAACAACAAGGCCATGCGCATGCTTGCAGGAGTTCCAGCTGAGGGCGCGATGGCGAGGATTGAGTTCCCCTTGTTCCACGGAGATCGTCACGTGCGGTAAGTCATTCGACACCTAACTCTGAGTGTATCAGAGCCAGGGCAGCATGTGCCGCAGTACCATATGACTCCCTTCGACTACAACCGTGTCATTTTCGACCTTCCCTCTACCCTATGCTTGTCTGCCATGTTTGCACAGCTGCATTGCACATGTCATGAACATTGCAGTGCAGGCGGCATTGAAGAAAGATGTGGTGACAGAGGCGCTGAAGCGTCTGTGAGCTGTGTGTTCGTACGTCGCGTGGTCAGTCCAGCGCTCGGAGAACTTTGCACGGCAGCAGCGCATCCTGCTGCGGCGGGATGATGCACCCGTGCTTCGTCTGATTGGCGACTCGCCGACACGATGGGGGTCCACGTATGACATGATCGTCCGTGCGTTGGAGCTGCAGCAGGCACTGGCCTTGCTCCTCATGAGGACAGACGTGAGTGGTGGTGGTACTAAGCGTGGAGTGATTGCAGCAATGGGCTGGTCTGGTGTTTTGATGTCGTGATCGTGGTGAAAGGGCATGGTGGGGGGCTGGTTTGGTGGAGAGTGTGTTGTGACAATAGTGAAGGGTGTTGTTTGTGTGTTGAAAGGCTGGATAACGTTTTCGACTATGATTGTTTGACTAGAATGACGGTTTAGCACTAATTTTATTTTGTTTTGTTTGCCCGTCCACCAGCCCCCCTCCCCACCTCGCGAGGTACGCGAACAGCTGGATGGCCTTCGGCTGTCCGACGTGCACTGGGACGCTCTCGTCGAGCTCAAGGAGTTCCTTAAGCCGTTCAACTCCATCACGAAGGCAGCCGAGGGTTCCTTGTACCCCACGGCTGCCTCGGTCGTGCCGATGTACAACCAGCTGCTGGACAAGCTGGAAATCTCCTTCCGCAAAGAGGGTGTCACTCCCCTCCGACAGGCTCTCATCACTGCAGCTCTTGACAAGCTGAAGAAGAACAAGTATGGGGAGAAGGAAGAGCTGGTGGTTGCCACCTTCCTGGACCCCCGCTACAAGACAGTCTTCTTCCAGCTGCCGAAATGGGAGGCGCGCAATGCTGCGCACGTGACAGAGGTGGGGGGGTGTGCTAGGAGGGTGCAGGATGTGGATGAAGGGACGGTGATACGGCTGGTGCGTGCGCGTATGGCCGAGTATCAAGCGCGGGTGAACACCCGCCGGCAGGGTGGTGAGGTCACGAGTGATACCGGGGGGGGCACTGGGCCTAGCAGCGTGACTGGTGGGGCCTCGGGCACGACGGGGGCTGGTGGAGGTGGGGGAGGGGGCTTTGAGCACTCCATCTTTGACGAGATGGATGCCCTGGAGGCAGCTGCTGGAGGGGGGGCACAGGATGAGGTGGACCGCTATTTGGCCGAGCCGAGGCAGAGAGGTGGTTGTCCGCTGGCTTTCTGGCGGGCGAGGGAGGATTTCACAGTTTTGAGAGAGATGGCGCGTGACTATTTGGCTGTGCCCGCTACTTCTGCTGCTAGCGAGCGAGCCTTTAGTCAGGGGAGGAACATTATTACATGGCAGCGCCACCGCCTTAGTGATGGCCGCGTACGCGCCGTCATGGCAATTAAGTCATGGATGGAGCAGAACACTAGCGGCAGGAGCCTCAACATTGCAGGTGCCGCTCGGGTGCTCGATGACCTTTGTTATGAGGGTGAGGGTGATGGGTTCTGACTTGTGGCTGGTTGTGACTGTGGGCACGATATTGCTGTGTACCCTGGGGTGTGGGTGTGGCTATTCTGACTGTAGAGGATGCCATAGACCACACGTTGTAGGTGGTTGAACTTGAACATATATATTGTCACGACATACAATAATTTATGCTAGCATGTGACAGCGATAGGATACTGCAACTCTAGTACAACGAACATTGTGTTAATGCATTCGTGGTAGCGCACGAGTTTGCAATGAAAGATGTGACACTTCATCCATTTCACAGAAAACTGCAAGCTAATATTATATAGGCCCAAAAACAGCAACAAAATTCGTCATAATGTATATTTGATTTACATGTATAACGGGTATACCCGACCCGTCCACGGGTAAACCCTACCCGACCGCGGGTAGTTACTACCCGAGGGTTTCTAAACGGGTCGAGTACCCAATCTGACCCATCAAACCCGAGGTCAGGTATACCCGACCCGACCCGGCTGCACCCTCGAGTACCCCCAAATGGGTCGGGTCGGGTCAATGCCCAAGCCTACTACCATTTGGGTTGCACTTTGAACGTAATTGAACATTTGCTTCCACTTTTTCATGATTCCGCGCTGCAACGCGTGAAGAGGTGTGAGGCAGCACTCCCAAAGTGGGTACGCCGCGTCGCTGAGTAGTTGATAGGGGAAAATGCCTCCATGTGGAGACATGACATGTCCCAAAACCTCCAACCCCTGCTTAAAAAAGTCGCACTTAGAGCCTTTAGTGATGAGCCGAATGTCCTGCTACGGATCGCAGAGGTGCTACGCGGGCGTCCCGCTAAAAAACAAAATATTGTCTAAGTACGATAACGCACCTGACGAGTAGATCGCGAAACACCCTGTTCATGGTAAGTTGGAATGTTGAATACGCATTCGTGAGGCCGAAGGGCATCACTGTAAACTCGTAACTACCGTAGCGGGTTCAAAAGGCGGTCTTGTGACATTCGTCTGCAAAGACCCTTATATGGTGGTAATCGCCGCGTAGGTCAATCTTCGAGAAATAGCGAGCGCCGCGAGATTGGTCGAGGAGGTCGTCAGTGCGTAGGATGGGATTGCGAGATTTTATGGTAACCTAGTTAAGCACGCGATAGTCGATGTTTTCCGCGTGAACACGATCGGTGCCGCGAAGGGTGTTATACTGGGTCTGATGAACCCCTTTTCCAACAGTGCATCAAGTTGTCTTCGTAGTTCCGCGAGTTCATGCTGGGTCACACGCCATTGTGTACGAACAGTCGATTGCGCGCCAGTATCGAGGGTGATTTTTGTTGGTGTAAGGGCCTAATAAACTCAGGCTATTAAGACTTTATCAAAGTCAAAACCTCTCCCTGAGGTCACCTCCAAGGGTCCTTGGGTGCATGGTACAAGACTAGCCCCTATCCTCGGGTCCGAGTTTAAAGAGAGAGGAGTCAAGAATGACTTAACTAAATTAGCAAGAGTACCTTGAACTTCACGCAGCGTATCGTGCAGACCATCGATCGGATTGAGCTGAAAGTTTCCTATATCGAAGCTCGCTCCAAAGGCTTTAAGACAAGCCAAGTTGCCTCGCGAAAAGTTCAGCCATTGCAGAGTTATGACTCAAGCAGCGTTTGCCTAGCGTCGTAGTGCTAGTGAACTAGTGTTGACTCGGGTATCATTCCGCCATCGAACCGCGTAGAAACAAAATTCCAGCGAGGAAGGAATTTGCTTGATTCAATTGACTATATCACAGAGTACAAATAGAGAAGGAATAAATAGCTCTAGCTACCAAGGACCAAGGAACAACCAGGGATGATCCCAAATGATTCCAAACAACAGATTCGACCTGAATGGAAAAAACAGCAAGTGGTAGGTTGGTAAAGATCCTCTGGTTTTGTTTTTCCAATGTGGGAAAACAACAACCAGGTTCAGGTCCAAAAAACAGAACATGTTTTGTCCTTGCCCAACCAGCCAAAGTCTGGTTCTGCTAGTTTCCCCTGGCTCTATGCCATGCAGATACAGACAAACAATATCCAACCTCCACCTAATTGCACCCCAATAGTGCATGCACTGTTACACTATAGTTAAGTAAACGAAACAGAACGATTTCGAGTTGGGTATAATCAATTTTGAACCGAACTGCAAAGCTTCCATCTTGAGTTCCTTTGCGAGCTCCTACTTTATGCTTGCACTGTTCATAGCCCATACAATGTTGTGCCGAAGCGCACATTGCGCGAGTACCTGCATATGCATCAAGCAAAAATTGCGAAAGCAATCAAACATACGAACACACCATTCACACGCAAATGCATTCCCATACACATACTCGTACAAGCAGATAACATGATGTCACGCAAAGTAGATTTGCACCCACAATAGGTCCACATGCACCTACGTTGACACAATCCCGCCACATGGGGCGAACGTCGTCAGTGGCAAATAAATCTACAAGGCGCGTTACGTGGCACGAGGTTCCTGTCAACGCGAGGGGGTAGACTTCTTCCATACCTTTTCCCCACCCTGAAGATGACCACTTTTTGGGTATTACAGCACGTCGCAGCACAGCGGTGAGCTGCACTCATTGGACCTCTCTACTGCGTTTCTTCGGGGGAGGCTGGTCGAGCAGTTCGGGTTGCGTTCTCCACCTGGCTTTATTGGCTCTTTCTCTCCTTGGTGAGCGGCCTCGTTTTCCCCCAGGGTTTAGGCTCGGTGAGGAGGAAAGACAGCCAGCGAAGCTCCTGGGCAGCCATGGCAGCAACGTACACCTCTGCCTCTCAGCTGGAACTAGAGACGGACGACGCCCGAGTAGACCTCCACGAACTAGCACCTATCCCGAGGCTGAAGGAGTACCCCTGTGTAGACCGCAGCGTCCGAGCTACTGTCAAATTATAATATTGTGTAGGCTATACTGGGGTAGCCTATATGGGGTACACATTTCTAGGGTTGCATATTTGTATCACTTCCATTCCTTAGTCAATTCATTCTCGTTCTACTTTCCTCATGGTATCGAGCAGGTTCCCCCTTGGGAACTGTGCCTAGGGCCCACCACATCGAGTTTCAAAAAAAAAAATTCTCTCCTGCCCGAAGCGCGCTCCGCCCGAGTCGCGCTCCGGGCTCTCACCTCGCCGAGCCGCCCTAGCGGCCCCCTACGCCCTAGCGGCCCCTTCCCCTAGCGGCCCCGCCACCCTTCGTTTCGGCCCCGCCGCCCTTTAGTGCGGCCCCGCCGCCCGTCACAGCGGCCCCGTCGCCCCGCATCGTGGCCCCGCCGCCCGTCTCCGCGGCCTCGCCGCCCATCGCTGCGGCCCCGCCCCTACTCAGCGGCCCCGCCGCCCTTCTCCTTAGCGGCCCCGCCGCCCTGCTCAACGGCCCCGCCGCCCTACTCAGCGGCCCCGCCGCCCTTCTCCTCAGCGGCCCCGCCGCCCTACTCAGCGGCCCCGCCGCCCTACTCAGCGGCCCCGCCGCCCTTCTCCTCAGCGGCCCCGCCGCCCTACTCAGCGGCCCCGCCGCCCTTCTCCTCAGCGGCCCCGCCGCCCTACTCAGCGGCCCCGCCGCCCTTCTCCTCAGCGGCCCCGCCGCCCTACTCAGCGGCCGCGCCGCCCTTCTCCTCAGCGGCCCCGCCGCCCTTCTCCTCAGCGGCCACGCCGCCCTACTCAGCGGCCCCGCCGCCCTTCTCCTCAGCGGCCCCGCCGCCCTGCTCAGCGGCCCCGCCGCCCTACTCACAACCTCGCCGCCCTTCCACAGCGGCCTCGCCGCCCTTCTCAGCGGCCCAGCCGCCCCTCGCACCAGCAGCCCTGCCGCCCTACACCGCCCGCGCCGCCCAAGCCGCCTGAACCGCCCGAGCCTCCCGAGCCGCCCCACCTGCCCGAGCTGCCCGAGCCGCCCGAGCTGCCTGACTCTCCTGAGCCGCCCGAGCCGCCCGACCAGCCCGAGCCGCCCGAGCCGCCTGAGGAGCCGAGCCGCTGGTGCCACGGAGCCGCAGTTGCTGCAGTGCCGACCGAGAAGCCGTGTTGCCGTGCTGCTGTACCGCTGAGCTGCCCGATCTGCCCTGCCTGGTGAGAGCAGCGCTTCTGTCACTGCACTGCCCCTGTCCTACAATTGGTACTGCTAGTCCACTGTTGTCATGGCTACCCCCAGTGTTCTCGCTTTTGACGCTGAGGGTCGAGCCATTGACTTTGAGGTTTGGGTGGATGACCAGCAGCTTTTCCTACAGTGCGATAGGGCAGACGGTCTTTCCCTCTTTGACCTCACCTCTGGTGCTTCCCCTGCCCCTGCTGCCGATGTCGACGCCACTGTTCACTCCCAGTGGGCCACTCGTGATGCTGCTGCACGTCTTGCTGTGCATCGCCACCTGCCTACCATTGAGCGCGCGCACTTTAGCCAGTACAAGAGTGCTCAGACCTTGTACGACGCTGTCGTTGCACGCTACTCCTCCCCTGCCACTGCTGCACTGAGCCGCCTCATGCTACCGTACCTCTTTCCTGACCTTGCTGCCTTTCCCACAGTCGCGGACCTCATTACGCACCTCCGCACTACTGACACTCGCTACCGCGCCGCGCTTCCTGCTGAATTCTGCGCCAAGAACCCCCCCCCCCCCCATGTACATCACTCTCTATTATATAGTCACCCGCCTCCGTGACTCCCTTCGTGTAGTCAGGGACCACTTCCTCTCAGTCTGTCCCACCACTCTCACTGTTGACCTCCTAGAGAAGGCCCTCCTAGCGGCAGAGAAGAGCATAGTCGCTGTAGGAGCCTCTCGTGGTGACCCTCGCACCCCCATCTTTGAGGGGTGTTCCCCTTCCCCCCTGTTGCCCTCTGTCGCCTGTGCTGCTGCGGCCGACCTCGTTGGTCTTGAGTCGGTCGGTGCGGCGGGTGCCCCTAGCGGGAGACGCCGCTCTGGCAAGGGCAAGGGGGGCAAGGGCGCGGGTGGGGCTAGCGGGGGTGGTGGAGGTGGCGGTGGGGGCAGCGGGGGGAGTGGGGGTGGCGGTGGGAGTGGTGGAGGGGGTGGAGGTGGCGGTGGCAGCGGCG